TAGAGAAAGCCGGCTCAAGTCCCCAGAGATTTGGAGTGATTTCTGTTGACGAACACAAATCAAGTCACCGTTCATTAAGACTGTTTTTGATGTTTTCAGGTTTTATTTTTCCAGAGTTTATTATCACATTATATTCTACTAATAATACTTTCCTATCCAATTAAAAATACAATAATACTTACAGTGACTGCGTCGTTGGTCTAGTGATCGTAAATGCGGTTGCTGAACATGTTAATAGTTAAAGTTACAGACGTCACACTGCTGAGCACTAGCCTCTTCGCGTTTCTGAGAGAGTTTTAGGTCAAGAAAATATCCGCCAACCTGCCCCGATGTTGGCGAACTTCACATGTCTTCGAAATAGTTTGTTTGTTATTTCTCAAACATATAGGCTTTTCCTCACGATGTTTTTCTTCTCCGTCCAGCATTGGTACTAGTTGAGATTGAACCTGGGTTGCTCGCGTACTGTGAAATTTACAGCGAGCGCTAACCTTCTGAGCTACCACGGCCAAAATCACTTATTGGGTTTTTCTGTTAATAAATTTTTAGTAGCAACCAGAATTCAGGAAGTTGGCAGTGTTTCATCCCCGTGCCTCAAAAAAAAAATGTAAAGTCATTAGTTCTACGCCTCATCTCTCTCTCTCTTGCCCTGATCATACAATAAAAATAAACTCTCTCTGGTTGTGTCGGTTACCGTCCCATTAGACTATATATCCCATTACACGGGAACTATAATTGCGCAGATGGCTAGTCTCCGCTGAGACTGGCCGTCGTGACCGAAATTCAGTCTGGGAAACATTATTATTGTTACGAGCTTAGGGTTCGTGACAATAAAAACTGTCGATTGAATTACCGAAATTGATACTTTAATTACCAAGCACCAATTAAAACTTCAAACACACTAATAATTAATCATACTTTTTTTCTATTTATTTGATAATAATTTTACAATATTTAGACTGGTATTTTACAGTATAAACATAAGCTATACAGCTTTACCGTATACCGATGCCATCAACATACATAGCATGATAATTATTATGCCTAACAATTATGAAATACATCATAATGTTGTGATGCACGCATTGAACCGCGCTCCCCCCACACAGTCAATAGGTTTGCTCTCTGTGGCGTTATTTGCCTACCTGGCTTGACGCGTCGAGTTCGCATGTACAGGCTTTTCATATAATTTGATACTAATTAATGATATTAAGGATAAACTTATTTTAATTATTGTATATGTAACATTAGTTTTTAGAATATTAATGTGTAACTTATAATATATTATTTTTATTTTACAATACTTATTATAAGTTACTTATGAAGTAATTCTTTAATATATTTTTGATGTAGCGTTGGTTAATTTGTTTTTTTTTTTACTTGTGATGGAGGTTTGTTTATGATATCGCGAAATCATGTATTCTAATGTTCGTTTTCCATGTATTTTAGTAATGCTAAGGTAGGTTTCTTGAACCGTGCCCACAGTTACATTTAAAGTTTTGCTTAGTGCATCTTTTACTTTTACAACAAACTTTCTGTTTGCTAGGTAATCCTTGCACCAATCCAATAAGGGTCCTCTAATCCCACTATCATGCAAACTATTTATAAGCGTATTATGCCTGAGTGTGTCAAAGGCTTTGCTGTAGTCAATGTTACTACAAATATGTGTTTTTTTTTTGCGTTTAGATGTTTGTATATACTATTAGAAAATGATGTTAACAGCTGTGATGTATTTTTATGAGGCTGAAATCCATATTGTTTTTCTTGTAATATTTTGTTGTTGCCAAAAATTTCATAAATTTGCTTACAAATATATTTTTCAACAATTTTATCAATTGTGGGTAGAATAGTTATTGGTCTATAGTTTTCGTAATCCGATGTTCCACCTTTTTTTGTATATCGGTCTGACAATACCGATTTTTAATTAATTGGGATAGGTATTCCTCTTTATACTTGCATTAATGAGATTGGCATTGGCTATATTAATTGTTTGCAGTTATTTTTATGTCTATGGCCCTAATGCCATCAAAACCAGGAGCTTTGTTACTACTTAATGCATGAATAATTTTTCTACTAAATCACATAGATAATTCAGCTGACTTTCTGTAGGCTGATTCATCAAGCAACTGTTTAGGGCAATCGGGAATTATTTTAATGTACATTATTTTCAAATGTGGTGGCAAATGAATTTGCAATGTCCTTATCAGTTGTGTTGTTATCTTTAAATGCCTTTATTAATGTTTCATCTATAAATGATTTAATTCTACCTGTTATTCTATTCAGTATTTGCCACAAGTGCCTAGGGTTATTTTTACTGTTTTTAATTTCAGCTCTTAATTTATTGTTTTTGGTATTATTTATTAATTTATTAGCATAATTCCTTGACTTATTAAATTCTTTCTTTAAAATCATATTGCCGCTATACTTAGTTACCACCGTGCAAATAATATATCCCTTTGTGTACATGGATTTATATTTTTTTATTTCTCCAATTGTTCATTACTCGTTTTATATTAGGTTGTATTTTTATTTGAAATTTAGATTTTTATAGCATTTTGTAAAACTACTCTGTATAAATTTATATATTGCTAAGGGGCATGTCATATCATTTGTTTTCTTCCAATTAATATCATTTAATGATGTCATAAGATTTGTATTATTGATGCACATCTTAAATTTAGGCACAATCTGTATATACGGTCCGACGCATGCAGAATCACTGCGCGATGATCCGCCAGTGTTGTTCCTATAGCTGCAGTGAAAAGGTCTTGGCTGAGGGATGATTTGCTCAGTATTCCATCTTATAATTCTATTCTTGTATATTCTGTGATCCCACATACAAGAACCAAGCTATGCAGCGAGTTGTTGTAGCTATGCTTAACTGGAGTGTCCGATTTTAAGTCAATGTTAATATCACCCAGTAAATACAAATCGTTGTTACTGCAGTGACTCTTGAGTGTGTTAAATAGCTCGTCAATAAAAAGATTTTTACTGGTACTAGGCGAGCGGTACACTGCGCAAATATCCGTGGTATAACTGGTCGGAGTGGTGACTGTGCATATGAGACTTTCACAAAATTTTGTTTAATATTTATGTTCATTGCTAATGTATATGATAATGCCAAATCCTCGACGTATTATTACCCGCAGGTCCGTTAACATTTGATATCCATTGATATGATACAGACTACTGATGTTTTCTGAGATATTTGCCTCTGTTACTATTATTACATCTAAGCATTTTGAGCAACTAAATATACATTGTTCTAGATACGAGAAGTTTTTTATGGTAGATGCGTACATAATAGGTTAATATTTTGATTTTTAGGTAGATAATTACAAAATTGATTTGCGTTTACACAGTTTGCGAATTCTTTAAATTTCGTAGTCGATAGGTTCCATACCTTTTTTATTTGTAACAAATAGGTTATCAGAGATCAAGACAGAAAGAATATACGAAGAATAATATAAAATAAATACAAAATATTTGTAAAAATTAATGTACAAAAAAATAATTCCTTAATAAAATGGAGGATTTCACAGCCCATTATTAGCTAGTGAATTTATATAATCCAAGTTTCTTAGGGTGAAAACTTTACCTTAGTCTTCTTTGCATGCCTTAATCAATCCCTTTTTGAACCAAACGTATTTTATAGTTTTGATTTATTTTTAGCTCTTGTTTTTCGTGCCAGAAAACCTTCTTGTTGTGCTGTGTCATTTTTTCCCTTATATACACGGAATTGCTGTTTTTATTTTATCTTGGATGAATGTCTGCTACCGTAATCCTAGTACTTTTTGCGGCTGCCATCTATGTATTCAATACATTTTCCTCTTTTAGCTCCACGTGTATATTTCCATTCTGTTCGTTTTATTTCCTTTTTAAGCGGTATGCTTTTGTAAAGCTTTCCTTAGGTATATTTAGCTTTTCAGCCACATTATCAACCAGTTGCTTCACATCCTTATCCTTGCGTTGTGGTATATTCGCCATTTCAATACATTTCGACAATTTACTTTGCTCCACCTCCTGCAATTTTTGTTCTAATGCACCTACTCTCGTTTCCAGATTGTTGTTTTTGTTGGTAAGTTAAATGTTCTTTTTTTCCAGATTCTTTATAGTTTGCTTAAATGCCTCAATAGACATCATCACCTCATCCAGTCTTAACCCGGTAGAACTAGCGCTCTTAAATGTTACGCAAGCACTCGCGTATACAGCATTTTGCTCACGCTAAACAAACAGTCTTTTAAATACCTACAACATAGCATGTGTTTTTTTTTTGTTATAAACATAATAATACACATTAGATTTTATGAAATAATTATTTATTGAAATAAAAAACAATGATATACGTTTTTTACGACATTAACATTTAGGAACTTACATTTGGCAGTCTTCTCATGTAGGGTTTGGAAAAAAATAAATAAAATAAAAACTCAACCTAAAAGTTCTTAAAATAATAATAATAATAAGAAGAAGAAGGCGTAGGGAAGTGACGACCCCATCGCCCGCTGACGTAACAGTTAAGTGACAAAACTGCTACGTCAACGCAGTCAGTCAGCGCCTTGCGAGAGGTGTGAGCGCCGTGCCGCGGCAGAATTTAGGGTGCAGAGGCCCGTTTGTGCTTATGGGTACACACGAAACGGTGTCGGGCCTGGGCGTCTCCCGTTAATGGACGCCCAAATAATGGATGATGGATAAAAAAGATAGTGCGCAAAGGGCCGCTGCCTGGGGGTCGCCGGGGCGCGTCTGGAGCTGGCGCTGGACGCGGCAGCATGCGGGCCGCCAGCCGAGCGCGAGGAGCTGCACGGTCACCTACCAGCCCTCCGCATCCATCATCCCCACCAGAAGGCTTGGTGTCGGCTGGGTCTTCTCGGACCCAGCAAGCGGCACCCGCCGCTGGTGGAGCACGTCGCATGCGTTGGTCACAAGAAATGAATGCAAACGCACTGCGGGCGTACTTTAGGGCAAAAGGGGAAGAAACTGGATGTTTGGCGTATCGGGCTAGGATGCATCGTCTTTTTGCTGAGCTGGAGCCATCTTTAACCGTCACAGAGCAAAACCTGGCAGACCGAGTTCGGTATATCTTGCGCTCAAATATATTTGATGTCGCCGAACTCGAACGGCTACGACGTGAGGCTGTTCCCTCGTCGGATGAGAATGCTACGGCGCCACAAATGGTAGAGCAACCCGCAAACGTGGATGCCGCCGTGAATACCCCAGTTGTGGTTGATTCAAACGATGATGGAATAGTCGCCCAGGAACTGGAATTAGAGCATATGAGGAGTATATTGGAAGAGGTAATTGTGGAAACGCGCAGTACGCCTCTCGAAAATCGACCGCGACTTCCCCGCATAGCCCTAAGCAAGCGAAATCGGGCTGTCGTGAGGGCTCTGAACCCAATGCTGGTGACCTATTTGGAAGCCAGCCGGGACCTTTGCGAGACGGACTCAATTCTTTTTGGCGCCGTACTGGCCGTCTACCGTATTATAGACGCCAAAGGTTTCCACGGCTGGACGCGCTACTGGCCATAGTAGCACTATTCCAGCATGGAGAAGAAGAATTGAGGAATGTATCGCAAAGGCTAGAGCTCTCATCGGCAGACTGATATGCTTCAGATCAGGCAACAACAGGCCAAGAATTGTGCGCACCGTCAGGATGGCGTTTGCTGGGGCAAATGTCAGTTTGTCCATAACGCAAAAACTGACGGAGCGCATAGATGATCTGAAGCAGAGAATCGCTGCTTGGGGAAAGCGGATTCGGCGATATACCGAGAGGTCGACACGGTTCAACCAGAATCGTCTCTTCCAGAGTAATCAGAAGGGGCTCTATGAATCATTGGAGCGACCAATGGTAAGTGGAACGGGTCCAGCACCGAATCAGGCCGACACTGTAGCATTCTGGCGCGGCCTGTGGTCAGAGCCCGTAAACCACAGCGAGGGCCCTTGGACGGAAGTTGTAGCGAGTCAGTGTGCGGGTATTACGCCCATGGACCCCGTCATCATAACGCCGGATGACGTAGCTGAGGCGGTCCGTAGGGCCCCGAACTGGAAAAGTCCCGACAGTTCCAAGAGGCTCTCAACCAGAAGTCGCTCCCAAGCCTCTTCACTACTGGGATCACTCATTTGGTTCCTAAAGACCAGGGTACCACAGACCCGAGCAAATACCGCCCCATCACGTGTCTACCGACCATATACAAGACACTAACATCCATTTTGAGCGCGAGAATCACTTGTCACCTGGACTCCAATCAGGTGATGTCGCGCGCTCAAAATGGATGTCGGGGCAGTGGTCGTGGAACCAAGGAACCACTCCTCATTGACGCGGTCATTGGCAAAGTGGTGAAACGCAACCGTCGGAACTTCTCCGCCGCCTGGATAGACTACAGAAAGGCATTCGACTCGGTGCCCCATACATGGCTAGAGAGAGTCCTCGAGCTGTACAAGATAGACTGTACAGTTAGAGACTTCCTCGGGCAGTGTATGGGGCAGTGGAGTACGATCCTTTGTCATCTGGGCGAGCGGATGATGGCTGCGGAGAACCACATAAGGATAAGAAGGGGTATCTTTCAGGGCGATTGTCTGAGTCCAATCTGGTTCTGCCTCTCTCTGAACCATCTCAGTACCTTACTGGAGGGCTCCGGGAGGGGATTTCAGCTACGGAAAGGAGGGACAAAAGTGACCCACCTTTTCTATATGGATGACCTCAAGTTATTCGCCTCCAGTCGCTCCCATCTTAAGGAATTGCTAAACATCACTTGTGAATTTAGCAATTCTATTGCAATGGAGCTGGGGACGGATAAGTGTGCGGTCCTCCTTGTTGAAAGGGGAAGGGTTGCTAACTCTGAGGGCGTAGACTTATCTATGCCCGTCAACTTAAGGACCCTTTCCGAGGCTGAAACATACCGATACCTGGGTATGTCACAAAACATCGGTATCGATGAGACTGGTATGAAACAGTCAGTTTGCGACGTGTTTTATGCACGCTTGACCAAAGTGCTTAACAGTCTTTTGTCCGGTGTGAATAAGGCACACGCATATAACGGCTGGGTCATGCCTGTCCTCATGTATACCTTTGGCATACTCAGGTGGACTCAGACTGAACTTTAACGCCCTGGATAGAAAAGTCCGCACTACCATGACGTCCCATAGGATGCATCATCCGAGGTCGTCGGTAATGAGGCTGTACTTACCGCGGAAGCATGGTGGTCGTGGCTTCTTGAGCGCGCTCACCATGCATAATCGCGAAGTGTGCAGCCTCCGTGATTACTTCCTGGCAAGATCGGATGATCCATTCTATAAGGACGTCATTTCTTGTGATAAAGGACTTACCCCTCTATCCTTAGCCAACGAGCAATGGCAAGACCCGGCAGTGCAGAGCATTTCCGACCAGGAGACCGTATGGAAGGAGAAGGAGCTCCACGGGAGGTTCTACAAGGCTCTACATGAGCCTTTCGTAGACACAGTAGCCTCCCTCCACTGGCTACGCTTTGGTGATCTCTTCGGGGGAAACTGAGGGTTTTGTCTGTGCAATACAGGATCAGGTTATTAAGACCAACAACTATCGGAGATACATCCTAAAGGATGGCACCGTCGACATCTGTCGAGCTTGTCGCCATCCCGGTAAGTCACTTAGGCATGTTATCTCCGGTTGTTCGGCGCTTTCTAACTCTGAGTACTTGCACAGGCAATACCTAGTAGCCAGAATTCTACACCAGGAGTTCGCTCTGAAATACGGTCTCGTGGATCGGAAATTGCCGTATTACAAGTACTTGCCGGAAGCCGTGCTCGAAAATGATCGCGCCAGGCTCTATTGGGACCGGGCCATCATCACAGACAGGACTATTCTTGCGAATAAGCTTGATATTGTGCTGATGTACCGGGCACAGTCAAGGATATTTTTTGGTCGACATTACCATTCCGTATGACGAGAACCTCGTGAAAGCCGAAACAGACAAGCAAACAAAATATCTGGACCTGGCTCACGAGGTGACCGACATGTGGGGTGGTCTGCCGACCGAAATTATTCCTGTAGTCGTCTCTGCAAACGGGCTAATCCCAGTCAGCCTCTCGGGTCATCTGAGGCGGCTGGGACTACGTGGCGGACCGCTCCAGGTTCAAATGCAGAAGGCGGTGCTCCTCGATACCGCCCGCATCGTCCGCCGGTTTCTTTCCCTTTCCCCCTAACCCTCGGCCGTTTGGTCTCCCCTGCCGAGGGCCTCCATCTTGTTGGGCTTTTATTTATTTATGTACTTTTATATTTATTTTATGTTATTGATATTTATGTATATTTATCTTTTCATTTTCATTTATAATTATATATTTATAGCACCCAACCAGATGAGAAAACTATATAGATACCCCACAATAATAATAAGAAGAAGGCGTAGGGAAGTGACGACCCCATCGCCCGCTGACGTAACTGTTATGTGACAAAACTGCGACGTTGGCGCAGTCACTCAGCATCCTGCCAAGAGGTGTGAGCGCCGTGCCTAGGCAAAATTGTAGATGCAAAGGTCCGTTTGTGCCTATGACCCAACCACGAAACGGTGCCGGGCTTGGGCGTCTCCCGTTATTTGGCGCCCATAAAATGGATGATGGCAAAAACACAAAAAGGAACGCGCATAGGGCCGCTGCCTGGGGGTCGCCGGGGCGCGTCTGGAGCTGGCGCTGGACGCGGCAGCATGCGGGCCGCCAGTCGAGTGCGAGGAGCTGCACGATCACCTAGCAGCCCCTCGCATCCATCATCCCCACCAGAAGGCTTGGTGTCGGCTGGGTCTTCTCGGACCCAGCAAGCGGCACCCGCCGCTGGTGGAGCACGTCGCATGCGTTGAACAAAATCCATGAACGAAAACTCATTGCGGGCGTACTATAGGGCGAAAGGGGAAGAAACTGTGGGAATAGCGTATAGGTCTCGGATGCATTGCTTTTTTGCTGAGCTCGAGCCGTCTATCCCCGTCACGGAACAAAACCTGGCAAACCGAGTTCGGTACATGATGCGCTCAAAAATATTTGATGATGCCGAACTCGAACGACTACGACGTGAGGCTATTCCGTCGTCGAATGAATCGGCTATGGCTGTAGATGCAGCTCCACATTCGACAGACCAGCATCCACACGTGGAAGCCGCCATGGATCTTCCAGTTGTGGTTGATTCGAACGACGATGAAATAGTCTCCCACGAACTAGAGCAAATGAGGAGTATATTGGAAGAGGCGATTTTGGAAACGCGCAGCACCCCTCTCGAAAATCGACCGCGACTTCCCCTGCATACCCTTAAGCGAGCGAAATCGGGCTGTCGTGAGGGCTCTTAACCCAATGCTGGTGACCTATTTGGAAGCCAGCCGGGACCTTTGCGAGACGGACTCAGTTATTTTTGGCGCCGCAGTGGCAGCTTACCTTATTATTGGCTCCAAACTTCCTATGGCTGGACGCGCTACTAAACAAAGTAGCGCCATCCCAGCATGGAGAAAAAGAATTGAGGATCGTGTCGCAAAGGCAAGGGCTCTTATCGGCAGACTGACAAGCTTCAGGTCGGGTAATAATAGACCGAGGGTTGTGCGCACCGTTAGAATGGCGTTTGCTGGGACAAATATCAGTTTGTCCCAGCCGGATATCACGCAGAAATTAACGGAGCGCATAGACAACCTGAAGCAAAAGATCGCTGCTTGGGGGAAGCGGATTCGCCGATTTACTGAGAGTTAAAGGCGGTTCAACCAGAATCGTCTCTTCCAGAGTGATCAGAAGAGGCTCATCATAAATCATTGGAGCGACCAGAGGTATGCGGAGCGGGCTCGCGACCGGATCAGACTAAAACTGTCGCATTTTGGCGTGGCCTGTGGTCAGAGCCCGTAAATCACAGCGAGGGCTCTTGGAAGGAAGTTGTGGCGAGCCAAAGTGCGAATGTTACGCCTATGTACCCCGTCACCATAACGCCGGAAGACGTGGATGAAGCGGTTCGTGGGGCCCCGAACTGGAAAAGTCCGGGTTTCGACGGGCTGCAGTGCATCATTAATGGCTGAAGGGGTTCGTGGTGTGTCACGCTGTGCTTGCCCGACAGTTTCAAGAGGCTCTCGATCAGAATTCGCTCCCGAGCCTCTTCACTACTGGGATCACTCATTTGGTTCCTAAAGACCAGGTTACTACAGACCCGAGCAAATACCGCCCCATTACGTGTCTACCCACCATATATAAGACACTGACATCCATTTTGAGCGGGAGAATCACTCGTCACCTGGAGCTAACTCAGGTGATGTCATGCGCTCAAAATGGATGTCGGGGCGGTGGTCGTGGAACTAAGGAACCACTCCTCATTGACGCGTTCTTTGGAAAAGTTGTGGAATGCAACCGTTGGAACTTCTCCGCCGCCTGGATAAACTACAGAAAGGCATTCGACTCAGTGCTCCATACATGGCTAAACAGAGTCCTCGAGCTGTAAAAGATAGACTGTACAGTGAGAGACTTCCTCGAGCAGTGTATGGGGTGGTGGAGTACGATCCTTTGTCATCTGGGCGAGCGGATGAAGGCTGCGGAGAACCACATAAGGATAAGAAGGGGTATCACGCTTGACCAAGGTGCTTAACAGCCTTTGGTCCGGTGTGAATAGGACACACGCATATAACGGTTGGGTCATGCCTGTCCTCATGTATACCTTTGGCATACTCAGGTGGACTCAGACCGAACTTAACGCCCTGGATAGAAAATTCCGCACTTCTATGACGTCCCATAGGATGCATCATCCGCGATCGTCGGTAATGAGGCTGTACTTGCCGCGAAAGCATGGTGGGCGTGGTTTTCTGAGCGCGCTCATCATGCATAATCGCGAAGTGTGCAGCCTCCGTCATTACTTCCTGACGAGATTGGATGATCCATTCCATAATAACGTCATTTCTAGTGATAAAGGGCTTACCCCTTTATCCTTAGCTAACGAGCAATGGCAGGACACAGCAGTGCTTAGCATTTCCGACCGGTAGACCTTATGAAAGGAGAAGGAGCTCCACGGGAGGTACTACAGGGCTCTACATGAGCCCTTCCTAGATACAGTCGCCTCCCTCAACTGGCTACGTTTCGGTGACCTCTTCGGGGAAACCGAGGGTTTTGTCTGTGCGATACACGATCAGGTTATTAAGACCAACAATTATTGGAGATACATCCTAAAGGATGGTACCGTCGACATATTATGTCGGGCTTGTCGCCATCCCGGTGAGT